AGAGAGAGAGAGAGAGAGAGAGAGAGAGAGAGAGAGGAGAGAGGAGAGAGAGAGAGAGAAAGAGAAAAGAAAAAGAAATCAAAGAGCTTGAGTTGCACTAAAATGGACTATGTTAATGCTGAAAATACTAAGACTGAATATGGAAACTTCAATGTGATGGCTGACTGGGCTGCAGTGAAACGGAATGTATCGTCTTACCTCTCTGAGGTGCCATATGAACAAGACAAAACCTGGCTTAATGAACACCTGTACTTTTCCTCACCTTTCTCATACAGAACACTATATATAGGAATAAAAAGTTGGTTTATTTTGTTTTGTTTTTCGAGACATAGTTTCTCTGTGTAGCTTTTTGCGCCTTTCCTGAACTCACTCTGTAGCCCAGGCTGGCCTCGAACTCACAGAGATCTGCCTGCCTCTTCCTATTGAATGCTGGGATTAAAGGCATGTGCCACCTCTGCCTGGCTTTAAAAAGTTTAAGTATCTTTTACTTATATGCAGTGTAGCATAAGAATAAAAATTAATAATTAAAAATATTTTTAATTATAAAAATTTAAATATAATTAAAATGTATTTAAAAATATTCTTTACATGTAATATAGTATAGAAATAAAAATTTAAATAGGCATCTTCTGTTGGTAGTGAGCCCTTTCTCTGTTCAGTACCAGCCTGTATTTAGTGCAAAAACCGTAAGTTCATTGATTCGAAAACCATTTAAATTCCTCTGCTAGGGATCACATTAATCAGTACGTGGTGAGACATAACCAGGAATTTTCAGAAAGATGGCAAATTGTAGCTAGAGTTTTCCTGCCTTGCCCACAGTCAGGACAAATCTTTGTCACTCTCCAGTCCCACAGCCGCTCAGACCCAACCAAGTAAACACAGAGACTTATATTGCATACAAATGTATGGCTGTGGCAGGCTTCTTGCTAACTGTCCTTATAGCTTAAATGAACCCATTTCTATAAATCTATACCTTGCCACGTGGCTGGTGGCTTACCGGCGTCTTCACATACTGCTGGTCATGGCGGCAGCTGGCAGTGTCTCTCCGCGTCAGCCTTCCACTTCCCAGAATTCTCCTCTCTCCTTGTCCCACCTACTTCCTGCCTGGCCACTGGCCAATCAGTGTTTTATTTATTGACCAATCAGAGCAATT